TAAGTCCAGGCCCTCTCAAGGGTGTACATAAGATGTGAACTTAGGAGCCTACATGTTTAAACTACATATTTAAATTTTCCCTTGATTCGAATTCTCCCGTTACGTACTCTCTCTCTCCTTCCTTCACAGCTAATTTACCTCTACTTTTTTCATCTCACACAGCATTCTGTGCAATTCTCAATCTTAGCACTTACCAAATTGTTAGTTTACTGTTCATTCCTAAAATGAACACTTTTTAAAACAGGGAGCACTTTGGGAGTTAGGGCTAGACCACCGCTGAAATTACAGTCTCACGAGCCAGTGGGCTGATGGAGAAGTGGCGTGGTTAGACCACACACCTGAGAGGCAGACTGCCTGGGTTTCAATTGACTGTGTATTGGTTTTGTGACTTGAGCGAGACACTTGCTCTCTGTGCCTTACTTTCTTCATCTGTTAAGTGAAGCTCATGTTAATAGTTGTGAGAATTAATTGGGTTCATGAATGTTTGGGATCACACCTGGAACCTCGAGATCAAGGATGGCTTCTTTCACCTTTTCATGATCAGTGCTCAGCACAGGGCCTGGCGCAGAAGGATTCAATAAATACTTGCCAAATGAACAAATTCTGTGGCTTTAAATGGTAATTTAGTTATGATGAGTGACGTATCCTAGAACTGCACTCCCCCTTGTGGAGGGACATCAAGGCTTCAGGAAAACATTTTTTCTGTACTCAGAGGTTTGTATTCAGCGATCCCTACAGCCCCCACCACTGTGTCTGTCACGGCACAGAAGTACAATGCAGAGTCGCTCCCTTGGACAGATGCTTTCTTCAGGTGGAAAGAGGTTTGGCTCTTATTAAATTCAGCTTCAAAACCGTAGTTGCCTTTAACCAGGTTGTCCCCTGCGATGTATTTCAGAAGGAACTGGAGACCTTGGTTGGGATACTGGACATACCAAAAGAGATAAGGGGTCCCAGAAAGTGAATAGGTGCATTTCACAGTCAGTGGCTCCCCTTCGGCGACAGTGATCGGCTCTTTCAGCTGAGTCACTGACTGGGCTCTCAGTCCGCCTGTAAATTAATGCACACTGCATCAGTGAAGCTGCTGAAAAGAACATAAGTGGACAATACAAGTGGAAAAAGGGATAGGAATATCACTTACTCAGTGTAAAGAGAATCGCAAGCGTCGAGATGCAAGCAGAGGCCATGGCTCAAGCTGAGCTCGCCAGGGGCTCCTTTCCAACCCACCTTTGCTGGAGATACGGCCTCAGCCCAGAGCCTGGGTTCTCAAACAGGTACCAGCATCCTTCTGTCAGCACAGCGTTTTGCAAATTGCCCTGGTGTTCCTATCACCTGTGTCTTCTCTCTGTTGAGCAAGCTCTTGCTGGGGCTCCTCGAAGCTCCATGGGAAGCAAAACTGCATCTCTTACACCAGGGGCAAAACTCACACTGCAGCGCCCCCTAGAGCCCACACACAGAACCAGGTGACTTTACTGTCAAGCAGCAGATGCTTCCAGGTCTTAATCACTGACACTCGGGTTTACAGCTGCCCTGTCAATCAGGCAAAATGTGGGTATATGCTCAACGTATGTATGGGCATATCTATACAGCATTCTGATCAGTGTAGAAAGACAAATAAGTCCAATTAAAACAATAGTCCAGTATAAGCTTTAGTGCTGTAACTATATTTTCCAAGTAATTGCCCAGTCTCTGCTTCTTCCGTCCTCTACAGATGCAGCACACACAGCATGTAAGACTATGCCTAGATAGTGCTGTAACTCAGATATCATTTGCCTTCAACCACTTAATGATGAATTCTGGCAGCCACAAATGAACCAAGCTTTTAGGAGATTTATATTTTTAATCTTGCTCTAGACATACTGGTAATTCCCTTGACAGTGCTGTTGAAGAGATCCAAACATCTCATGGATAGATGGCCTAGGCTGCCTTCTAGAATTGTACCTCCAGATATTAGTGTTTTAATTCGTTTTAGTTTGGTGTCCCTCTGTTTTATGGAGAAGCTCTGAGGTTGAGTTATTTTTGGTTTTTGTTTTAACGGCACAGGAGCAAAGAGAAAAATCATGTGACCGGCATAATATAGGTGCTCAATAAATATTTGTCAAATGATTAAAATTTTAAATAAGTACACTGAGCTAGCAGAAATCCATGTAATGAGAATTGATTGTACATGCTGGACACTAAGCAGTGGAGTAAAAGCTCTGTTTACCTTCATTCATTATGAATGAATTTTCTTCACAGAGGTCCTCTCTTCCAAGGCTTCACTCCAAAACTAACTGCCTTGGCATCCTGGTAATTCCAGGAGAAAACCTTGAAAGTCAATTTATTCTCACAAATTACTATTGAGTTCCTACTACGTGCAAGACATAATTTGCATTTAAGAGATAAACAGGAAAACAAGACTTAGTCCTTGCCCTCAAGAAACTTTCCATTCATTTTGGTAGATGGAATACTAATTCAGAAGATAAACCGTTAGCAAACTAAAGTATTTTTCTTTCTCTTACTGGCTTACTTCACTTAGAAAGAGAAAGAAAAATACCATATGATATCACTCGTATGTGAAATCTAAAAGAAAGAAAGAAAGAAAAAGAGACACTAATGAACTCATCTACAAAACAGAAACAGACTCTCAGACATAGTAAACAATCTTATGGTTACTGGGGGAAAGGGAGTGGGAAGGAATAAATTTGGGAGTTGGAGATTTGTAAATGTTCACCACTATATATAAAAATAGGTTAAAAATTTCTTCTGTATAACACAGGGAATTATATTCAGTAATTGTAATGCCTTTAATGAAAAAGAATATGAAAATGAGTCTATGTATGTAGATGCATGACTGGGCCATTGTGCTGTATACCAGAAATGGACACATTGTAACTGCTGTACTTCAATTAAAAAAAAAAAGAGAGAGAGAGAAAAACTAAAGTAAAATGTGCTAGAATTGTAGCAATGAAAAAATCCCTAGGGATGTTCCATCCAAATGAGAAAAGAAAGGACCTCACAAAGCTTTGGGAATTTAGCTAATTAAAAAGAAGTATTCTACTTCAAGCTGCAATAGGGACAGGGATGTGCTTCACAAGATGTTCCTCTTGAGTGCAAGGAAACAACCATGAGAATTAGTGTTTGCGCTTATCTTAACTTTTTCTAATTTCTACTTTTGTTTGTCACGTTCATTATCATAATCTATATGCATATAGATATACCTGTGCTGGAAGAGTAACATATTTCACTGATAGGAATAACTTGGGACCATTGTACTACAGGGAGCTTTTCTCAGCAGAGGGAACTAGTATTCAGATTTGCTGGTTTTGAGCCTACAGCAGTGCTGCTACACTGTTACCTTAACGGCCCGTCCCTACTGGTCGCGTTATTTTCTGCAATCCAGACAGTTAATAGAGCTTCAGAGACACGGTTTTCAATTGGGCTCTTTTCTCTTAGCTCCTTTTGAACTATAAAGCTACTTAATCCTAGAGTTCAAAACAGTATAAAAGATTTTGCCACTTTATGTCCCACTTGCTGTCAATGGAGCAAAATATCGAGTTCTTTTGAGACTCCCTCTATCCCCTGACGTACAGGATGTTCTTTAACATAAAAAGTGGTGTCCATTCCAGTCTGGAGATTTCTGAAGCAAGGAGATGTGTTGGAGCAGTATTTCTTGGCAAGAATTGGAAGGACTATGGTATACTAACCGTCCTAGTCCCAGTGCTGCTGTAACAGAGCACCAAAAACCAGGCAGCTTAAAACTGCAGAAATTTATTGTCTTACAGTTCTGCAAGCTAGACATCCTAAATCAAGGTGTTAGCCAGGCCATACTCGCTCTGACAGCTCTAGGAGAGAATCCTTTTTTGCCCCTTTGAGCTTCTGGTGTTTGCTGGCCATCTGTGCTGTTTCTTGGCATTTAGATGCACCACTCCAACCAGCTGGCCATCCTCTCCCTGTGTCTCTTCACATTGTCTTCCTTCTTCGCTTGTCTGTCTCTGTGTCAAAATTTTCTCTTTTTCTAAGAACACCAGTCCTAATGACTTTATGCTAACTTTATTACTTCTAGATTTTATTTCCAAATAAGGTCACGTTCTGAGGCACTGAGAGCTATGACTTCAACATACCATTTTTGGGGGGGACACAATTCAACCCATAACACTAACCCTTGGAAGAAAATGGAAGTAATTCTGCATTCCAGTCCCCACCCATTCTCTGTGGTACCCTGAGCCTCAGAAACTGAAGAGTAGCCAGGTGGGCTCCATGGCCCCACTCAACCCTCCCACAAAAAAGAAATAAAGCAGTGAAGTTAGAGAAGGTAGGGCCCATAGGAGCAAGGAAAGATACCCTACCGTGAGAGTGAGTTGGGGTCTTAAATCTCTCATGGAGCCAATGATAGATACAGATAGCCCTCTGAGGAAGTCCTTCGACATTTGAAGAACTAGGTGATCTATGGCCCCCAAGAAAACTTCACCGTCAATGCAGATTCAACTAGCAGTGGACAGAGCAGATGGATCCAGGGAGACCTCAGACAGCCCCATGCCACCTGCCTTGGCCAGTTAGGTAAGCTCTCCAGCCCTGTGTTCATGTTTAGTCTCAGGAGCCCTACAACAGTTTTTTCACCCAGGAATTTTTTTTTATTTTGTATTGCATTTTGGGGAAGTAAACCTCCAAAACAATGGCAAGCTCTATACACATACAAACTCCCAAGATCTGAGAGTACACGGAATTTTACTCCCTGTTTGTCACCATAGAACTGAGAGCTTCTTGATACCTTTAAGGCTGAGCCATCACTGCCACTCTCTTCTCTGTAATTCCTCTCATGCTGCATTTTCCTCTTCTTTTATTTCTTTCCTTTTCCACTTTCACCCTTGGGTAATAATGTCTTTAGTGTTCTATATTTGAGCTGGAAAAAAACCTGGTTGGAAGACCAGTAGTTGACTGTTTAAACAAGAGAATCAAAGCACCAATGTAAAAGGTAGGGTTTTCAACACACCACACACACACACACACACACACACACACACACACACACACACACACACTCCTCAGTGAATTGAAAAGAACTTCCTATATGAACAAAAAGAATTTCTGTCTCTTTTCTTGCATGACAAAGCAATGAGAGGGGCACCATTTATGGAGCAACAACTGTACATACACATGGCACCGTGCAGGACTCATAAAGAAGATGCACACATACATCTCCTTTTCAAATATTTCATTTGGTTAAAAGATAAATCTAACACACTTTTAAACAAGCAATAATCCAAAATAGAATATGCCTAAAAAATTAGCATGTAACTGGTACAAACATATACCGATTTATATTTGCATACCATGGAGATATTTGGATATTACTGAACGTGGTTGTAGCCTCAAGATCTGGAGTCCAGAGTCTGGCATTCCCAGATCAAACTTGGCTGAGCAACAGAATCATCAAAGAGATGTTTATGGAAAATACAGATTTCCAGGCCCCACTCCTGCAAACCCTGATTCAGTTCACCTGGAATGCAGCAAAAAAGAATCTATTTTTTGAACAAGATTGCAGAGACTTCTGATAAAAAAGTTTTGGAAACACTGATCTACAGTAGGACTTTGGTCCCTAAAGTGGGAGGGACATATCTGGGAAAAAACACAAAAATAACTTAACAAGAATATGGGAAGAATATATTACAACTTCTATTTTTTTAGTTTAAAAAATCAGAAGGAGATTGAACTTTTCTAATATTTCATATACCGACTGACACTGGCATCCTCACTGGGTCTGTATGTTAGATTATAAAACGTAATATATCCTGAGGGAAGGACTGAGATTCCAAACTCAGGGCTGTTGATAGTAGCCACTGTCATTCATTCCCTTTCAGCTTATTGTATTATCCAACGTTAACTAAAGTACCCTTTATATATTGAGACATGTCTTGAAAATATTCCTGCGAAGAGCCTGCAGCTGGCATATAATATTTAAAATGCAAAGGCAGAAAGCAAGAAGAAAATGGCACAGTGAACGTGACTCTTCATCCTATCACAGTTCATCATCATCCATTTTACAAGGGAAAGCAAATAATCTAATCAAATTTCAAAAGAAATGACTAAAAAGTATTCCAATTATCAAGAAGACTATTTAAATTGTAACAACTTTGGATAGTGATGATGGTAACTAGACTTACTGTAATAATCATTTCATAATGTATAAAAAATACCAAATCCTTCACTATGTTGTACACCTGAAACTATATGTAATATAGTATGGCAATAATAACTCAATTAAAAATTAAATCAAAATTTTTTTAAAAGACTATTTAAAACATGGATTTATACAACCATTATTGAATCCCTCCCTAAAAGTATAGTTTCCTATGTACATTTACTAATATAAAGTTTCTGAACTCAAATTATTTTTCTAATAGCAGTGCCAAATGGAAGGG